AGAACTCCAAACCCACCTTAAGTGGGTCAATAAGGGAAAGTGGACAATCCTGACTCAAGGCCACAGCACACCCACCCAGGACTTCCAGAGTTGGTGACTGTCATCTCGTCCCATGGATAGTGTGTGAAGAGAATGTGGTGACGAGCTAATTGAATGGGCGTGAATTAGTTACCATGACTATGATGGAGGTTAGGGCTGCAGTCGGCCACATGTGACGATCACAACCGAACAGTGGCTATCTGGCCCCCTTCAAGGTTAATCTCACTGATGTGTTGGAGATAATTAGACGTCATGATCACCGCAACTGTGTCTAATTCACAACAACGTTTACCGTAGTTTCTAAGCTATAAACTCAACAGGCATTCCCCAGCACAGCACAGAGACAGTACATATGGGCCCATGGAAATCCCTGTAAACCTCTTGGTATCGCAACAACAAATTGCTCACAGCCCACCACCGGATGAGGAAAATATAGTCCGCAGAGGAGATTGGAAATTCCGCGCCACCGTTGACAGATGGGCTGTAGTTTGTAACTTGATGCGGTATCTGTTCTGCCTTGACAGCTTTACCTCAAGCGTATTGGACAACTCCCAAGCAAGTTTAGTACATGCACCCAGGACTATGCTGACACACGGATCCGCAAAATGCTAGGTTAATAACCATCATGACGGACAGATAAAACGGAAGTGTGTGTGTGTACTGGCCCGGAGGTGTATGTGCCTACTCAAGCTGCTGAACATGAATTGAGTGCCAGTTATGCGGAGCGTCAATCGTAGCTCACGGTATGATCATATGGTCTATTAATTGAGTCTCTGGCTGAGTAGAACCATACAATCCACAGATGCTAGTTATCTTTGTGAAATGGTAAAACTCTCAAGGTCAGTAAAAGGCTTCAGATCAAGTCAAGTCCAAATATGCGTTATAAATTCAAATGCGTTCATTTTCAGTGTTTACACTACCACTGAGGATGTGTTAGAAAATAATGTTAATAAAAAATGCACATACCCAGATACCAATCTAACGCCCATGTTCATTACTTTCGTTGCGTCAAAAGCTAAACGTATCAAATGAGGTAATATAGTGATGAATCGAGAGAAAATAAAGCTTTAAATTCCGAACGCGTAGAAACGAAAGGGAACATTCTTGAAACGTCACTGTACCGCGGATGAAATCGCTCATTCAAGGGTTCAGTAGATCGCTCATTGAGAGCAGCAACATGTATATAGATTAGCAGATAAACTAAGGAATCTTTAGACAAATCGCCGAATCTAGAAATGTGGCCTATCGACCGTACCAATAAGGGCTAGTCTTCCTGAATCAGTCCATGGGAGATGACACGACAGTCGTAGCACCACCGGGGGAAAATCCATGTCAGTTCTGGCTACTGAAAGCATTGAAACTCTGACAGCCTAAAAAGAGTTTTCTGCTTTTATGGAAGGTTTCGGAAGCGTGTGGGGGAAAAGCGATACCGGGATACTTGATTGTGGATGATCTCGGTGTGGGGTTTCCGCTTGCAGTCAGCGTAGGGAAGGTATCTAAAAGAGACCACAATTTATGGCCACGAAGAAAAGCAAATATTGCAACGCTGCATTTGTAACCTTTGACAGTGAGGCCCCTGGATGAAGTACTCACCGCGAGATCTCTTAACCAAGGTTGAAGCGAAGAAGAAGCCTGAATAGCCATAACCCCAGCAAAACACTGCCAATAAGAGTGGGCAGTATACGGAGATGTTCGACATATAAGGAGCATAGAAAAGGTGATAAGATCGCTCCCGGCAGAACACCATAGTCTGCACACAGAACAAAGCATCTCTTGCCGTTTAATTGGGGCAAAGTGATTACTATCCAAAGAACTGTGTGGTTACTTAGTAGACACATTCATTACATTGGGAGCGAGACGAAGGTGATGGTTCCCTGCGGAGCGGAAGCTTCAAGCTATCGCCGTTTTCTTTATTTCCTAGACGTCCTGATAGCAAATATGCAACAAGATTATTTAGATTGTAGATATCCGCATATCACCTTCTTCAAAATATCCGTAGATTGTGTGCCTACAAGTCTTCGCACCGAGGGTAAGTGCTGCTTGGAGCTAATTGCATTGCGCATTCTTAGTAGACGGAATCCTTACTTTCGCGATTTGAGTATGTTGCTAACGGAACACATCGGATAACGTTATTCATCTAATTGCCCATTTGCAAACATAATTTCGATTGTCAACTTGACTACAGGGGGAATTGGCGTGAACAATCAGACTTACCCAACACTCTCCCTTAATGAGGATTGTGGATTCGAGCTATGAAAATCAGTTACTACCGCGATATGTAGGAAGCTGGGAGTCCACCCTTGGTTAGACGCTAGCTGACGGAAAATCTGACGCAGTTTTGCTCGCCGCGGGAACACTTCGTCACACGTCACGCCCCTTGATTGCCTATCTAAAGCGGGTATTTTGAAAATTATAACACGGAATGCTGCAAAATGTTTCAGTGCAACTTTCTTGACTGCAGAGCCTGTTGGTATCGCTTCGTTGGACAAAGTTGCACTGATCATTTAAACGTAACGATTGGGCGGTCGTATGTACAAACCGTTTCTTCCAGGACTGGAAAACGGAAGCTTGTAAATCATTTAGGATGCATTTCACGGCGTTCCTTGTGCGACTATCGATTATCATTGTCCATGGCGGTAGGGGTAAACGAATCAACCGCCAGCTCTACTTTCCAGGGTAGAGTTGCATTTCTGCTATGTGTACCTGGGCTAAATTTGGCCACATGTAAAACACCTTAATGACCTATCGTGACAGTTGCATTTCATTTTATCACTTACTTTCGGCAAGTTAAATAATTGTCCAGGAGAAAGTAAGAATTGCCCGGGAAAATCCATTACTTTAAAGAGTAATCGATTGTTAACGATTATCGCATCGAGTTCGAACGTGCTGGAATGTTCTAAGGTCAGCACATGACTAAGGACGTTCCCAGAGGATCGGCCAAATGGATGGGGAACAACTAACCTTGGCAGCTGACCTTCTAATGCTAGAAGTCGAAGGTCTTGAGGCCACCTATAAATGTGACCATGGTTTGCCGCCATTGTACAGTTCAGTTTGACTGCGGTTAACACGTTATATATTGGACAAGTTGGTTTGACATTTTCCTTTGCTTGGGTTTGAGGTCGTGCGAAATAAATTATGTGCGTTTCGAAATTACAGTGTGCCGTAAACTCAATATAGCTGGTTATAATCGAGTGTACATCCCGTTAAGTTCAACAGTGCGCGTTCAATCTAATGGACATATTTTTCGCTAATTTTGTTATTTTTCGTTTCCCCAAGAAAGCACAAGACCGGTCATGGAGTGAATTGTTCCAACGAGTAACTCCTATCATGTCTTTAACCTCTTTCTTCAGTAACACTTCAAACCCGCTTTTCCTAACCACCAATTAACGGAGGTGCAAGGGCAGTCATAGCCTTTACACCGTTAGCACGCTTTAACTGAGTAGCTACAATTGTTGATCCCTAGTCTTCACTAAAGACCTCATGCGTGTCGACGAGTCGAATTAGCTGATTTTCGCCGGCGACATCAAGGCGTGATTAATGATAGGTAGTCGGGATGATCACGATATGTCGTAACATGGGTTAGACCGTGGTTTTGAATGGTCCAAGGCAAATGTACTTCCGTTTAACGCGGACAGGCGTAAAACTGTAAATGTACGCCACAAGCACACTAACGCATACAACCTTGGAGACCTCTTGCATGTGGACTCACAGCAGCACAACCTACGGGGGCTAATGCAAGACGGCTTCGGCTGTCTTTGAGGGCGTCCAAAACCACGAACCAACAAGCTGGTCCCTTACGGAGGGCGTTCGGGAGACCCGAGTCTCGTCTTCCACCAAATGCTAAAGCGTATGTGAGACCCCATGTAGAGTACACGATGCCGGCCTGGAAAGCTCGGCTAAAAGGCGATCTGCTTACCTTAGAGAACGCACAGAGAATGGCAACCAAAAAGGTGAGGGGATTGTTCCACCTCCACTAGCATTTTCGATTGGAAACACTAGAACTGTCCAGCGGAATTTATCGCCGTCAAAGGGCTGACCTCATTCTGACGTAGCAGATCTTAATACAACTCGGTCACGCTTGCCGCCGTCTCCTGAAACTCAACCGCAACACAGAAGTGCGGGAGCATCAACTGCAACTGACCACCCAATACGGTCGGCTGGAATGCCGCCAGAATTATTTTTAATTCGAATTTTTCCGCCCCGGAATGCTCTTTCAACGTTTGTCATTTATGCGTTCACGCTACCTGTTATTAAAAAGAAACTCGATGATGCATTAGGCCACTTGCACTACTTGATCTGAGTGAGGGCAACACGCAGACCAACACTGTGCTCACCATCCCCCACGAAATCGGGATAGACAGACATACCTATGTGTTAACGTGGATAACATGGTGAGTCCACAGATGCGCGTTTCACATTAGTTTAACCCTCATAATTCACACAAACCATCCCACGGGAATTATCAAGCATTGGCATTTGTATCCATTGTATACCATTGTCCACCGATACATAACTGTCATCCTCCGCTGTCACTCTTGCTATACCCCGCCTGTTATGTTCCTACCATCACCTATATATATATAATATATATATATATATATATATATATATATATATATATATATATATATATATATATATATATATATATATATATATATATATATATATATATATATATATATATATATATAACTACAACTGATATTGCTGCTACACAGTCAATTGCAGTCAGTCATGGAGCGGAATGGACTTACATCTCAACAGTGCTCCTTAGGCATAGTTCACTGAAAATGAATGCATTCAATTCTGATGAGATGATTATCCAGTTGTGTAATACAACCCTATCATCTTATCTCTGATTATTAACGCATCACCTAAAGCATATCCCTTCTTATCTCTCGGTAACTATGCATTTAAACACAACCGGGTTAGTAACAGTAGCAGCCAGAACAACGTACCTGAACCCGCCCATCGGAGAGTTTCAATCGGGCAGCCAACTGGTCCCGAGTGGGAACATCCGGATACTGATTGAGCTGGAACGCCATCTCCAAGGCTTTCAGCTGGTATGTAGTAAACGTAGTCCGGAGCCTACGGGGACGAGTGGGCAATGAGTTACCATCACCGAACGATCTGTCGTCCAATCCTTGCTGTTCCAACTGGCTTCCGACGGAGAGTGCATTTGCCGGTGTCTGAAATGTGTTCAACTTGTCTATGATGGGAATTGCCATCAGGGATGGTTGCCAAGAAGGAAATCGTGTGTGTTGGGAATCATGCTTCGCACCTGACTCACATGCAGTTCTCTGTATTCGCTTATGACCAAGAGGAGTAGCGCAAGCTCGCTGAGGCCTTCCATCAGAGGTTACCGTGAGCTCCGTAATCTCACGACCGGCAGGGGTGGAGCAACCGGATGAGGATAATGTCGTGTCCGTGGGATCGTGAATTAGGTTCGTAGACTTCTCCATGACTGTCAGCGGAATGCCTGAAGGATATGCTCTATCCGCTGAAGAACCTATTTCGGATATAATAGAACAATGTTTGTGTCATTCTGATGTATGCTATAAGATTTAGTTGCGGCTTTTCTGATCAAAACCATTAGGCACTCGATTTAAAATTTGTTTACAGTGATCTCGGGGTCCCATCATTGAGGGAACCACAGATTGGTGTATACGGTGGAAATCATGCGCCAACTAATCACTATGTGAGGCTCTCACAAAAATACCAATTTGTTGACTTATGTAGCTGTAATTCAATCACACCTGTTACAATGAATAATGAACTTTAAAAGTTGAATTTGATAAGCTGTGGTCTTGTAACACCTTTGCTTCGTTACGAATGATTAGTATGCCTGTGTCGTTCACACACATCTACTCATTTTGCCAGTTGGTTCCATCTGCCCAGAACACTTGGAGATAGAATTAGAGTCAACGTTGCCATAATCTATAGCAATCGAAAATCATCCGCCTCAGTCTGATGACCGGTTAAATCGAATGAATAGTACCATTTCTGCCCTAACGTTTGTTAGAAAGGCGCAAGCTGCATTTTATCTACTTCAACAACAACTGGTAACTGCTGTAGACATTTAGGAACTACGATGTCAACGGCAGTGCTAGGACTTTTCAAAAGTAGCTGGTTCCCTTTGAGGCGCTTCATCGATGGGCTAGATAGAAGGAATCAGTAGTATGCCCGAATCTCGCATCATGTAGCCACCATCGATCGACTGATTTGTGAGTTATCACCAGAGCGCTCGCATCATAGCAGACTCCAACCGTTGACTTGTGAATCCCTGTTCATACGCCTGTTTCTCTTCATCAACGGCAACAGCATGAACTAGATGAATTCATCAATGCAGTTGATACAAACCTTTCTCATGCATAACCCAATAGGCGAAGTATGAATGGTCTGCACGGCAATCACAACACTTCCACTTATATGCCACACATAGGCAGCATAAATACGAAACGCTAAGCTTAGGGGAGGTAGGTGAAGGACAGAATCATAGCTGCTTCGAAGTAGCGTCACACTTCCTTACCAAGCATTGTCTGCGTATTTGTGGGCGAATCCTAGAAGGTAGAACACCATGGGATGAAACGCTATAAGTAATATACAACCAACTTGTGCAACTATTGTTTGCACATGCACTTTGGTCACTCAGTTCACATATACTAGATGCTTGCTGACTCACTCCTCATGATAGATGTGGCTATTGAATTAGGTGCAGTATACCTGCAGTATAAGTGGTGAGCTCCAGTCCGTCGTAAGATCTGCATTATGACCACTGGTTGAGTCAGCAGTGTCAAGATGTAAAACAGTGGGTCCCCTTTAGCCATTTCTTTAAGGCAGAGAGAAGACAGAGGTTGCGATATGTCAACATTTCGATTGTTATCATCAGTCGCAAACACAATGCGATCAGAAACACATAAGGGATTATATACTTGGAAAAAGGGGCACCACCAATCAAAATGTCACAGTCAAGACCATGCAACCGAATTGATTGCCTAAAGAGTTTCTGTGCACATAGCACAGGTTGATAAGCCTTAATTAACAACGTCTCACTAATTGCTAGCGTTATCGGGTTTTTGTTACGTAATAACACTTTGAACGTTGTCTCGGGGTTCACGTGATGACGGGTTGTCATGAGGTGCTTGGTGATAGACGATGCAGGGCTCCGATTGATTCTCAGATTCGTCCCATGTTGTTGCGTAATCACTTGTCCCAACCACTTTGGCAAGTGTTAAGCTACCCTCTGAGCTAACTGACGGTTTGTTCTGTCTATGTAAATGTCACCGCAACCGCAGGTGAACTGATAAACAACCTGAGAGGCCGAACTAACCGACGAGATGCTCTGACGGTTATGAAGAACAAGTGCTCGCGTGGTATGCCTGAGTCGCAACTGCGCTGTCGTGTAGGTTCGCGTTAGGGCGGACCGGAGCTTTCGTCCGATGTCATTTGCCACATGGTCCCCCTTGAACGGCAAGAACAAATAAACATTCTTTTTCTCAGCCGTCAACATCGGTGTTTTCACGCTGGGAGGTTTGCTGTGTACCTGAATATACTTCTCAGGATATCCATTAGAAATTAAGGTCTTGCGTAGAAATTCTTCTTCTGCTTGTAACGTTTCGGGGCTGCAAATACGTCTAGCCTGGTGGAAGAGAGTTCTCACTAACCCGCGTTTGTATGCGATCGGGGCGAAGCTTAAAAAATGAAGGTACTGTCCAGTCTAATCCCTTATGTGTTTCTGGTCGTATTGTGTTTGCGACTGATGAGAACAATCGAAATGTTGACATATCGCAACCTCTGTCTTCTCTCTGCCTTAACGAAGTGTCAAGATGATTTTACTCCCCATTTCCACCAAAAATGATTATCAGTCAGCCTGATCTGGAAAGCGAACCGAGGGTATCAGTCAAGTCGCAATCTACAAATAACCTTTTGAAGGAAGCTCAATTACAGTGACCAAGTAAAGCTTCTACGGCGCCAACCTCCGCGCCGACGTGACGATGACAAGGTCCTTGTGAGTACATAATTAATGGATCTTGGTTGCACAGTCGGCGTTCAAAGTTCAGTTCCGAACTGGAGCATAATCTAAGCTTGGAAGTAAAATGGACTCTCCGTCTCACCACGTGTCGACAGTTGATCGTGGGTTAAAATATTAGAATTCGTGGGGATTTGGTACTGCTGATGAAACTTAGTATTTTAAACCTGGACATCCGTATGCCTTAATAAGTCTGGAACCGACTAATGAACAGTCTAACAGGGGAATTAAATATCAAATAAAAATGATCATATTGCTCCATCACCGAGGCGGCCCGTGGTCGAAAGGATAAAGCGACTGCCTTTCAACTCGGAGGTCGAGGGTTCGAACTTGTGTGGGGGACCGGGGGACCCTTGCGGTATCCTTAATCCACGCTCGACTGTTGGTGATTGCGAGGCAGTGATATGTCGGTACTGCATACCGGCCTACTGCTGATGCCCTCATTCTTATCACCGGACCAAAACAGACCCTCTATCTGAAGTAAGTGCTTTCCCGGCCGGTGTTAAACCAACAAATAGAAAAGAGAAGAATTTATTGTTCCGCTGGTTTCACATGGACTTCTGTCAAATTGCAGATCACGTGTTCTAAGGATTTGCCAAGCGCAGGGGCACAGGGTCCTCAGTAAGAACATTTAGTCGACAACGATCGCTCCGGAATGGTGAAAACAGATGCAGAAGGCTGCGAAAGTTAACATACTCCACTTGCGCGCATTATGCACGTACCGCACGCTCGTTGCTTATTTAACTAACCTGTACTACGCATGCGGCTTTTATATGTCTGGAACATGCATGAATTAGTTTTCTAGTCGACAAAAGGCCATAATGGATATATTTGACGAAGATTAGAAGATCAAACACAAAGAAGAGCCGACGGACGATCTGCCACCTACGAACTGAAGTAAAAAGGTACCAAGATGCACAGAGGAAAAGGGGGGCGAATACGATGGAACCGATGTGGAGGCAAGCGATGAATCCCTGGCCATCCCAGTTTTCTAAAGACGTGGCTCCCTCGTGTAGCCACCAGGGTCGAAAACTAATTTGCACGTGCAGCACCTTCGAACAGAGGGGCGGCAAATGGGGCGGGAGGGCGGTCCGCCCCGGGTTGCACGTGACAGGGGGCGGCAGTTTTATTACCGTCGATTGTATCCTACCAAATATAAGGCGCAAAGTTTGTAGCTAAACTGGGAGTTGAATATTTAATGTTACTCTGCATGACCAACAGCACGTTAGTGCCATGTGTCACGCTTGTGCAAAAGTTCTTCTCAACGATCATCTTATTTGTTTCATTGTGATCACTCACCGCATTTACCCAAGTGGCCCAAACTAATGTGCACTTACCCTGAACCTATGGTGTGGTTTTCATGCGCCTATTCCGCCTTCAGTCATGGCAAAAATTTTACCACCACCCGGGGCGGCAAAAGTAGTTGCTACTCCATTGAACTTAAGCCAAATCCATTTTTTGACCGATAACTTTCCTGTAGCTCAGTAACAATCATGAGTCTGCTGCATGGGATTTGCCCCCGAACCGTCGACTTGTTGAAGATGATCGTAACGTAATGATTGCTAATGTGCTCATTGTAGCTGGTGCACCACATCATTGAGCGAGATGTGGGGGTTAAAGTAAGTTGCAGATTTATTTCCCGTTGTAAGCTAGTACAAATATGTATAAACCTGAAATACTCAGCTGATGCACTACATCGGATGCAAAGTTCATTATCTTAGTTTCTTAAATGCTAAAGCAATTCAGCAGTTACGCTAATCCTAATCATCTGAGTGCTTCGGCACTACTGGTTAGCCGTTTACTACTCGTAGGCATTCACGCACCAGGGAGAGTAGAGTATACTCATCATGCAAAGTCACTAAAGTGCACTGAATTCGGAGAAGTCATCCGGTTAGCCATGATTAATTACCCATAGAGTGCCGAATTGTGGGACTAAATTTTACCGATTACCAATATGATGGGAAGTATGGATATTTACTGTTTCAGGAAACAACGTAACGTTATTTAGTCAAATGTTCATCGAAACAGCTCCCAAGTCAGATTGTCCTCCAGACCCCTCGAAAAGCACTAAATATCCGTTTCAACCTGCTGGATTTTATCAGCAGTGCGCATCCTTTGGGTTTATAACGATCCGGACCCATATCCAGTAGCAGCCTGCACCGCCAACCAACCGCTTGTACCATTATGTCATAGAGGAAAACGATGAACCGTCATGATTTACAAGCTAACTGCGATACAACGCATCTCACTCCTCCCTGTCATGAAGTTAAGCAAGTTGCGGAGGACAGCGCTTGTTACAAAAAACACGAATTGCACTGACAGTACTATTTACCTTCAATGATTCATCGTCAGACCATTACAATCATATAGAGGCTAAAAAGAGAAATCGACCCAGTTATTTCAAAACGAATTGATCATGTGAAGGTCAATGTCAGAGTGGAAAAAACGAATTAGGTCTTAGAGGGCTAGATGTTCGCTACCGCGTCTGACCGAAGGCAGTCGACCTGGGCGTCTTCCATCTTCGCTGGCCAGGGAAGCTGGAGAGCCTGGACCAGCTTCTTCTGTGAGCATAAGGACGGCTGGAACAATCGAATGCATATTGCTTCAGCTGTCGCAAGCATACGAAGGCGGTAACCTTTCGTTCGGTGCGGTGGAACCTTGTAAACTATTCGGAAAGCGCGTTTCCAATCCACTTCATGGCCGGTGTCCACAATGTGGGCCAGAATGGCGCTACTAATGATTCCGATGCCCCCTTGACGAAGCCAGCGAGGGCAATGTTTGTCCACGCGATTCGATAACTGCCGCGCCGTTCGACCAATATACGTCGCGCCACAGGCGCACACGAATTGATAAATCACCATTGATGTGGTCAGCATCGGCAGCTTGTCCTTGTTTTGTGAACGAATGAGTGGTTCCGTTGAGAACACGCACTTCAACGAGGCTGCTGGAAAGGTCGACTTTACCGCGGCCGAAAGGCTTCTGGTTAGACGCTCGGTAGCCGCGTTCCCTTTAAACGGTAAGCGAATAAATAACTCTTTCTTTGGCGCTGTTAACACTGCCACTGGTTTCGGTTTTTCTAGGAGGTTCGTTAGGATAAATCTATCGGGATAACCATTTTCACGTAGAGTGTTCTGTATGAACATTAACTCCGCGTCTAGGGTGTCTTCCGTACAGATTCGACGTGCTCTTGACGTAAGACAGTGAACCAAGTTGCGTTTGTATCTCATGGGGAGGAAACTGTAAAAATTCGTGTACTGACCTATCCACGTTGGTTTTCTGTAGACCTGACGCTGGATGGATCCATCTGGTCTCCTCGTTAACAAGACATCGAGATATGGTAGCCGGTTATCGCTTTCCTTCTCGTAAGTAAACTGCACTGCTGCATGCACCCGGTTGAAGTGGTCAAGAATTTCCTCCAGATTAACATGTTTATCCACCACAACAAATATATCGTCCATGTATCGATGAGAGCGGTCAAAAATGTCTATCGCCGCTCGCATTTCGTTCCTCTCCAGCTTTGCCATGAAGATATCCGCTAATAGCGGTCCGAGAGGGGATCCCATGGCCACGCCGTCCTTCTGGTCTGACGATGAATCATTGAAAGCATTTGCTCACCAGATGGTCTTTTGTTCTAGAGACTTAAATGGGAATTTCAAGTACCATTTACGTCGTAGTGCTTTTTCGAGCATCCTGAGGGCTATATAATTTGGAAACGGATTTGCTGATATATCCAGTAATTATAGCAACAATCTCCTACTCTTGAGTGCACCAGTATTTATGGCTGGAGCTTCTCGTTTTCCGAGAGCGATCGACCACCTGATCGGATAGGAGACTACGAATATGTCATACATCATCACTGATAGTTCCACTCTAGCGCGTCGTGGTCAACAAAAACCCCAGGTGTGTGACCAGAAAACGGGGAAACGCACACCAACTTTAATTCGGAGGCGAAACACTGTCAACTTACATTAACCCACAACAAAGTGACGTCATTAAACACATTCCCAAATTCATCACAACGCCGACAAGTTTCCGCCTACAGTGTGCGAATGGGGAGTAGGTCCATTTTGTAGCCCATGAAGTACTGTTGAACCGGTTCCTGTCAGTCGCTCAGTAAGATACGGAAATGATAAGGGCATGACAGTGGCGCAAATAGAGGCGGCTAAGTCGAAGTTCGCTCCATCATGGGATGGCCACCACGAGGAGTTTATACCCCATTTTACTATGCGAAGTTGGGTGCACAAATGGTACAACTATTTGAAGCAGCGGAGTGGAACCATCGGGTACACATCCAATGTTCTCATCCAGCGCGGTTATACAAGTCCAATGCACGCACATACATATCAAACGAGGGAAGTCCGGTCAGTCGCTAGTTGTGGTACAGCCGCACGTCGCTGATGCTTATACCAAGTAGACTACAACACCAACACTCAAACGCTAGTGATGAACCGCGTCAATTTGCTGTTGACTAAGATGCTGAAATTACTTGTTTATATGCAACTCCCGGCCTTCAAAGATGTGTGCTGGTGCTTACGCCGAACTAAGTCTTGCATTTCGCTCTACTTGATGTTCAGAAAATACCAGAATCAAGCTATGAACCCGAGCATACACTTGCGGAACATGTATTAACCGTGTAGGTATGTCTGTATTCGCCAACAACACTCATACGGGAACAGACTTGGAAAGCATAGCCTGCGGACCGATCCCAGTAACGTGAGATCGGAATGTTCGTGCAGTACCAACTTGACCTCACCCGGTAGTCGAGGGCTTCAACTATAGGTTACACTTGAATAGACACTTAGGGCTTGATTCACCCAGAATTCATCTGTTGCTGGCACAATATGTTCCGACTATTCGGGTGGCACCACTGGAGTGAAGACTTCACAGTGTCTGGTAACTTACAACATCGATGAAGTGAACCGCTGAATGTGGCTATATCACTGACTGAACGCTGCCGGTGTTTGGATGGCTGTCTGATTATCTCGTCCACTGACACTATGATGTTTAGGCATGAAGTCACACAGGTGCATTCAAAGTAAATTAACTGAGAACCACGACCATCCGGGGTACCGTCGCAATGCGATTAGCTTCGAAAATTCAAAGAAACCACTAGGTCATATAGCGTCTGGGGAAAAACACTGCGTTCTGAATTCGGCTCCCTGCTCCGACTATCTCTGCCTGAGGAGTCGAATGAAGTGCATAAATGGATGTGGAGCGCATCATTGGAAACTTAAAACGCAGAAACTATATCCGTGGAAAGACCAGAGAATATTGCTGACCGAACGAATACTTGTAACAGTATAATAGTTAGAATTATCCTGCTCGCCACAAGAATTAACAATATTGCCATTATTTGCATCCTTTGAATGTTATGGGGATTTCTGTATCCCGGTCACGCATTATGTGACATAAAACTCTTCTGTATCATTCCTAACCATTCGGTTACATTTCATTGCTTCCCGTAGAATGCAGCACACGCTTGCTGACATAGCTGCCGTAAACCGGGAATGAGTCTGAACTATCTAAATATATTAGGCAAGTTAGGGGTCTGCGTAATTCAATATCCATAATGAGAGAACTCACGTAGGCACGTTGAATCCGGAAGATAAATGCATGTAAATTGCCAAATATGACCTGCCTTAGGGGCCTGCGATAAAAGATATCGGATGAAATTCGTTCTGTGACTGGATACATCTTAAAAGTGTAAATGAAATGCCTTTTGTTAACTGCCCATTTAGGCTTGAAAAATAAAACGGAAAGGCCGTGTGTAAACCTATACAGAAGACCTTAGACATAACCGGAAAGTAACAGATGCATGTTTTGGGTGATTGGTAGTAGTCTGTGAAGAAGTCGTATTTACTCCGAACTGGTGTCTACTGATGCAATTGCAAAATGGTGTTTTGAGGCGTGTTCACCACCTTCCCTCATTCCATCTTGAGTGACCTATTTCGCGAAGCTGCACTTAGTCCCATCAATGTCTGCCCTGGTAGAGCTATCTGTGTTGAGGCAGGTGGACAGATCTCATGTCCCCGTAATCTTTCCCCCGATCAATGTGAGCCACGAACTCTACATTGTCATGAAGTTGGAAATGTTTAACCACTGAATCGCAATTCGTTATCGGGAGGCGTAAACTGAAACAAAGGAATAAACAAAGTGCGGGGTGTCAGTGTTGGGAGGAGCAACACCGAAACACCAATGTAATAAACACGTAGAAGAGGTTACTTGCATTATGGAAACAGTTAACCTGATATAAAAGCTGTTTTTTCCAGTTGAGGCGAACCAGTGCTTTTTAGATGAAATTATGCTTAGCACCTAACAAATGGTTCCTACACCCCAAGCTATAACGGATCGTACCGATTATACGGCCTATGTTCATGTGTATTTTCAAACATTACAAAATGTATCCACCTAACACTACGCTTTGGGGCTCGATACTGTTATTCTCAGCAAACTATTTGCATAATTCAAAGACCATAGCAACATACCATCAGTAGTTTGTGAGCAAGTTGTGATACTGTGCTAAAATTAGTATTAACTGTCAGAGTATGCTCTTGAGTCATGCTTCATGTACATGCAAAATGGCAACACACGATTTCTTGAAAAACATCTGCGTTAGTTCATCTTACATGGGTAGTCCAATAGAAGAGGTATGCTTACATCGTATTTTAGTGCGATAATGTTGGTGAATGGCGGACTTTAACTCACAGCTTAGCGACTCTTGTCCTTCACTGTAGACTTTCATTTCAAATTGATCAAGTGCACAATTCAACCAAGATCGCGAAGAATCCTCTTTCTTCCTATCCGGTTCACTGGAGCTATCCAAAATCCTTGCGATTGTAAAGCTCATGAGCTTTTCACAGGGTGCTCGGGAAATGCAGTAATAACGAAGCAGTGGTTAACTTCCACGAGGTACGTAGTAAGAATGACGACGGTAACGGTGTTCTAGCGTACAGAAGTAATTCGGAGGTCTTCTCAAAGTGATTCCTCCCTTGGCCAATCGTTGAGCTCGCCTCTACCTTATTGGCCGAATGGAGCGCACGGAGTGGAGCACGTTGCCATGTCCCCCGTAGACCTCCTTCACTAAATAAATTGGGATAGGGGTAGGAGTTAAAATCCGGGAAGAAAGCAAGGGGATAGCACCCAACTGAGGTGGACGTTGTTGTAACCCTGGATAGTGACATGACGGGCGGGGATTGAATATCGCAGAGCTGCTAAGGTTAGAACACAAGTAAGAAACCTGACAGTTCCTGTGATCAGGGTAGGAGGTCGCTGTGAGCAATGCCTGAGTTTCAAGAAGTCACACATGCAAAAGTAAATTAACCGATAGCAATGCGACAAGCGTCGATGGAGAAGATTGGCGAAACGTAGCTAAATGGCACCTGAGGAAAAGTCACCGCTTGTGCTACCCTGGTGATTGTTGGATTAAAGACGCGATTTAAAATTAAAACGGGTATGTTATTTAAACGTTTTCAGTTGTAGCCTGAGTTACTGTAACGTGATTTGATATACCATGCTTTTAGCTGAAATCTTGAACGTACCGTCGCTTTGAGATTTTGTTTCTAATGTTCGACTTGGAAACGACGTCCGCAAAAGCAATGGAATAATTGTTGAATTGCTGTCGTTCAAGAGGATCTCGGACACATCTTCATCTTCTCCCTTGCGCTTTCCTGATCAGCATTCGCTAGCTTTATCTGTATTTTCTCATTTACTGACTCGTTTCCCACCCGTTTTAACCCACAACTATTCTTGTTAATTCATCCTTAGGTAATATGGCACCGGTTTTACGTTGACCTTTCTCGTTCACTGTTTTCCCAATTACCATGTCGGATTTACAAGATGCTGAACCCCTTTTGTCTTCGAATTCATTGCCACTTGAATCCGTTGCCATCTGTGACAACTTACATTGTTCGCATCCCGTTTCAGACTACTCTAGAGATATGCACCGTGAGTTGTTGATGCCGCTGGTACCACGGATGTTACACGGATTTCAAGCGGAGCAATTTGCTCTCTCGGCGATCAAAGATAGCCTGGTTGTGTTGGTTGCTGTGGCTAACGAAAACATGGTGTCATTTGATACAATGCTGAAGCAGGTTGAGCAAACAGTTTCGTCCTTTATGATATCCCTGGACCACAAAATGGGTTTAGGTATGAAGACTGCGTGTTCCTCCTGATGTCTACTCGGAAAGTTAAGGTGCTCGTTTTCCACAACGCGACGTTTCAACTCACCCGTCTGAAGTCCAGGTCACTGTGTCGAACCTCTCCGCTTCAAGAGATGACGCAGATCAGGCCAGCTGATGCTAGTGAGATAGTGTATTTGTGTCGTGGACCTCTGCGCCAGGTAAAACCAAGCATAAAAGCAAAGAGAAATCGTTAGCCCTCCGCTAAGCTCGAAGTGGTAAAAGCTGGAAAGATGCTAAATAAGGAGCATAATTTTTGGACTCAAGTTATCTCAGTACTTCCAGAAGAGAAATGTGCAATGCGGTCCTCAAAGGTTAAGCCGATTGCTACTAGAGCTGAGACTAAGGCAAGAGGAGTAGATACACCCCATGGAGGATTTGTTTAGGGAGAACAGCGTTATCTTCCGAAACATTGCTAAATTCGCTGATGGTCTTCCCAAGGAACGCATGCTGGACTGCCTTTAATGATTCACTATGTGCGTTACGAAGCTGCATCCACCCAGTTTTACCGGAGCTACCATACAAAAGTGACCAGATTAAGGAACAGCTCTTTCAGCACAACAAATCCACAACCTCGACCACTTCGTGCTGTCCCTTCTACCTCCGTGCAGTACAAGCGGTTGTTAAGTTTTGCTTTTAACTTCAAGGGAAGTGGTGTTGGTGTCCAGCTAGACTTTCCGCTGACGGACAGGCTTGAACTGACGGCGACTATCATGGATCTCAAAATCAGCCGTGCGGCTGGTGAGGGGTGCCTTCGGCTTGTGGGTTTGCAAATGGCCAGACGGCGGTTATTATCCGCACAACAACCCATTCTGGAATTACACTAACCAGGGCTGGTTATGACGAATTTCTCCAGGTAATACTTTGCAACGTGCGCAGCCTAAGGATCGAGGTACACGAGCTAGGTCGATTTGTAGGCAAATCTCGTCAATACAAGCTTACATTCACTGAGACGTTTTGTCCCCTGATATCGCGTGTGATAAAGTACGGTTACCTAGATGGGTACTCCTTAAAACAGATAATCTGTTGGTCGTCAAGACGAAGGCGTTGTACATTATGTGAACTGTATATTAAATGTGGATGACCTGCGCATTTTGATAGTTGGATCAAACTGTTGAAGTCCTATCGGTTCTGTGTGAACTTCCTCCGATCAGCTTACAATTGTGGTGCTATACAGAATTCCTAGAAGTACATTCAGAATGAACATTGACTATATTCGCGCTTAATCTGCGAATAGGTGTCTAGTTCTAGGGGATTTCAGCCCCCTTAAGGTCTGTTGGGTTGATCTTCATGCAATTCATTGACAAGGACGTTCGGTACAGACTTTCTTGTGCTGACCAGTTCGTATACCTTCCCACAAGGTACAACGACAACCAAGTGCCGTCTACTTGATATCCTGTTTTCGCGAAGTCTCTCGACAGGATGGAATACCACCCGTTTTGCGAAAGTAAAATCTCCGGATTCGCACTCAAATCGGAGTTTCATTCACACTTCTCATTACACACGCAGGATTACACTCATTCGGTCTAACCTCATCAACACTGTTTAGTGCATTTCATCTTTCTTTTGTAGCTTGTGTGGATCGCTTTTTATCTGCACGTCGCAGTCGTCACACTGTTTCCTAAGAAACACAATGGAGGAATCATCCGAATCCAGAGCCACACAGCAACACTTGTGGTCTCAAACGAAAGTCAAATCGGAGATCCAAAAAACGAACAATCAACCGCAGTTGTCGACCGCCAAGAGAAGTAGCTATCCGACATTATATGTCCCTGTCGGTCATTCGTTTTGTTTACATATCAGAGAGCAAAGAAGCAAACGATCTAGCCGCTTAAACGTACCCTGCCAGACCTGGACGTGATGACTTGGAAAATATATCAAAATCAGTGCGCAGACGACAGACAGGCGACCACACGATTGACCGTAAAGGCATCAATCGATGAAATGCCTTGTAACGACCAAACAAATGGTTCCCGTTTTACGCACCCAGATTGACAGCAGTAAGTAGCGTCCTCTCGTGCTAAAAATGTATCTACAGGAATCTAGTGTTCAAATTAACTCAGTAAGTGTTAGATTAAGCGTTCTAAGTTCAGAGAAAACCACATTCTCTGTGTTTCCGTTCAGTATGTATGGTCGTCCAACTAGTAAACAAGGAACAATGGTATATCGCTAGCAAAAAGACGGATGATTAGCAAGTCACGTAGGATAGCCAAA